ACGGCGCAGAAACCCTAACGCTCACAAGAACAACAGTGAGTAAACTACAAGTTGCGGAAAGAGCAATGGAGAGAATTATGTTTTGGATTATGGTGGATTTCTCTACGTGATCAAATACTCAATGCTACTATACGCAAAAGATCAGGAGTAGCAGACGTTATTGAAAGGATAACAACACTAAAGTGAAACTGGGCAGGTCATGTAGCAAGATCAGTTGATGACCGGTGGACAAAAAGAATTTTGGAATGGAGACCCCGAATACAAGCTTACAGAAATAGAGGTCGACCCCCAACGAGATGGACAGATGACATAAAAAGAGTGACTACAAATTGGATTCAGATGGCGCAAAATCGCACTAAGTGGAAAAGCATGCGAGAGGCCTATGTTCAGCAGTGGACGTTAGAGGCTAGTTGATGATGATGATGATGAATCCAGAAATTTATGTAATGTGGCCTAGGTTATAAAGGGCAACCTCAGGAGCAATCCCCCAGTACATTCAACACAAAATTTTGGTTATTGTTTATTTATCAGCGTTTATAGGTGCAAAATACGTATTTTTTGAGTTTTTTTCATTTTTTGCATAAAGTAAGTGTTGTAATGGGTAATTTCTGTATTCTTCTTCTTCAAGTGCCCTGTCCGTTGCGAACGTTAGCTATTAACATGGCAATTTTGATCTTGTTTGCGGCGCTTCTGAATAGTTCGACCGAAGTGAGCCCGAACTACTTCCGCAGATTTTGGAGCTACGAGTGTCTTCTCCTGCCTGGCCCTCGCTTACTGTCTATTTTTTCCTGAACAATCAATTGTAGCAGACGGTACTTATCGTGTCTCAATATGTGGCCTAGATATTCAAGCTTTCTTTGTTTAATTGTATTCACGATTTCTTTCTCCTTTCCGATTCTTTGGAGTACCTCTATGTTGGTGACATGTTCGGTCCAGGATATACGAAGAATGCGTCGGTACATCCACATTTCGAATGCTTTTAGTTTTCTCGTTAGCGTCTCCGTTAGCGTCCAGGCCTCCACGCCATACAGCAAGATCGGAAAAATGTAGCATTTAACTATACGTAGTTTTAGGGGAAGAGACAAATCCTTGCTTATGAGGACCTTTTTCATATTGCTAAATGCTGCTTTAGCTCGTTCAATTCTCGCCTTAATTTCTATGGTCTGTTTCCATTTTGCATTTACGTTGGTGCCAAGGTACACATAAGATTCTACATGGTCAATTAGTATGTTACTTATCCGTAATTGTTAAGCAGGTGGTTGCTTTTTGCTTATCAGCATCCACTTTGTCTTCTTGAAGTTGAGGCTCAGGCCGTATGCCTCACTAACTGAATAAAGTCTTTCCATTACTTGTTGTAATTCGTCTATGGTGCTGGCAAGGATCCCCGTGTCGTCGGTATATCTTATATTGTTCGTTAACTCGCCGTATATTTTTATGCCCTCATTTGCATTTTCCATACATTTGTTAAATATTTCCTCGGAATACATATTGAATAGGAGTGGGGATAATATACACCCCTGACGGACACTTTTTTTGATCTGCACGCTTTCAGTGAGTTCGTTGCCAATTTTTGCTCTTGCTGTTTGACCCCAGTATAGGTTTGCCAAAATTCGAATGTCCTTGTCGTCAATACCTGTCTTTCACAGAATACCTATCAATTGTTCATGATTAACATTGTCAAATGCTTTTCTAAAATCTACAAAGCACAAACACACGTCCTTATCAACGTCTCTACGCCGCTGTATAAGCACCTGGAGAGCGAATTCTCCGGGATTTTACCGCTATTATATATGTTGTTAAAAAGTACAACTAGATTATCAAGGAACTGTTTGTCTAATTTACATAGGATCTTTAATATTTCGCAGGGTACATTGTCTGGACCTGCTGACTTATTGTTTTTTACTGCTGCAATGGCATCTTCTATCTCCGATTTAAGGATTGAAGGTCCTGTTTCTCCTTCCCCATATAGGTGATCATCAGTCCTGTCAGATGCAAATAATTTTTCTATGTATGATTTTCATGTTTTTAAGACCGTTGATGGCTCCGAGATAAGATTTCCATCGCTATCTTTTATGCTGTTGGGTGACTTATTGAATTTCCTCTTGTTTGTCATCGATTTTATTTTTTTTTGTGCATATTGTAACTGTCTTATTTTCGTTCGTATTGTTCTATTTCCTTGCATTCGTTGGAAAACCATTTTTCTTTGAATTTTCGTTTTTATGGTTTTGTGGATCTGCTGGTATTTTTCTGCATTTTTATTCTTGAATTTACGTCTTTCATCCATCATATCCATTATCTCATCAGACATCTATTCTTTCTTTTTCCGTCGGTTACGCTTTAATAGAGTCGCGCATATTTGGATTGCTTCCCTCGATTTATCCCATCTCTCTATTATGTCCGACGTGTTCTCGTTAATGTCCTTTATTTTCTTTCCTAGTTGTTCTTGTACTTGTATTTCGGTTTCTGTGTTAGTGAGTTTTTTAATATCGATTGTGTTTAAATTAGATCTTTTCTCGAGTCGTTTTACTCTCATGACCATTCTGCATACGAAGAAATTGTGGTCCGTAGGAACATCGGCACCTGGGTACGTTTGTGATGATTTTATCCTGTTTTTATATCTTGTTGGTACTGCTATATAATCTATCTGATTTCTAATGATGTTGCCAGGTGAGTCAGCAGGGGATTTCCATGTGTAAAGTCGACGTTTGGGGAGCTTAAAGTGTGTATTACTTAATACCAGGTTATATTCCTGGCAGAAGCATATGTCTATAAGTCTATAGATTATAATTTCTGTATAGATTATGAAAGTACTCTAAGGGCTGGTTCTACAATAGTAGTATATACTGAAAATACAGGAATACTTAAAATAACTTTATTAATGGTGTTCTACAAACAAAGAATAAATTAGGAATAAGATAATCGGAGTGTATTTATAGAATAACTTTATACCTCCAAAGTTGAGCGGATATACCAAGTATAAAATACTGCATTTCTATTGGTTGGCGAGGGGTTGTCAAATCTATGATATTTTAACCTCACTTTATGCCATTCGATCTTTGAACCGTGGAAGAATAAATTAGGAATAAGATTCTTCTTCGTTTTGTGCCACTCCTAGCGGAGATTGGAAATCATCATGGCCACTGCGACTTTGTTAGCAGCGCGCCTGAAAAGATCAATCGAACTACACCCGAACCATTCACGTAGATTACGAAGCCACGATATTTTTCTTCTTCCCACACTTCTTTTGCCCTTAATTTTGCCCTGCATGATGTTTCTTAAAAGTTCGTACTTTTCATCTCTCACAATGTGACCCAAGTATTCCATCTTTCTAGTTTTTATCTCATTTAGAATTTCGCATCTTTTGTCTAAAGTTTGGAGTACTTGCGTGTTAGTGACGCGGTCCATCCATGATATTCTAAGAATGCGCCTATAGCACCACATCTCGAAAGCTTCGATGTTTTTTATGGTCAACTGTTTTAGTGTCCAAGCCTCAACTCCATATAACAGGGTAGAAAAGACATAACACCGCAGCATTCGTATTCGTAACTTTATATTGATATTACGATTGCAAAAGAGTTTGCGCATTCTATTAAAGACTGATCTAGCGATTTCTATTCTACATCTAATCTCTTTTGTTTGATCAGTATCGTCTGTGATCCAAGCACCTAGATATTTATAACAGGGCACACGCTCAATCGTTGTATTGTCTATTACAAGATTAGCTCTGATGTTCTTTGATTTCGTGATTACCATAAGGAATAAGATAATCGGAGTATATCTATAGAATAACTTTATCCATCCAAAGTTGAGCAGATATACCGAGTATAAATTTATACTGCATTTCTATTGGTCGGCGAGGGGTTGTCAAATCTGTGATATTTTAACCTCACTTTATGCTATTCGATCTTTGAACTGTGGTTTTGTTTGTTTTTTTTATATAAAATAAAATTTTTGATATGGATCCAGTTAATATTAATATTTCTGAATCTGATGATGAAGATTTTAAAGAAGGAATACCTAGGCTAAGGCATCCAAAAACTTTTTGAATTCGGTATGAATTAGATATAGGAATTTAGATCCTATATTTATATAGCATTTGAATTCAATTTCTGTATATGTCAATTGTTACATCTTTTTTATCCATTTTATATTAATTTTGCAAAGTATAATAATATAAACGTAGATAAAATACTAGATAAAGATAAAGTAGATAAAATACTTTCAATTGTAAACAAATTTTACAGTTATGACAACTGCCAAATGTCACTGTCAATAACAATTTGAACTAATTTTGAGGCTATCAAATCTACTATTTCGTTTTACCTCAGTGTTCTGTGGTTATAACTAGAATAGCTGAGGAGGTTTCAAGCAATACCGAATAAATCCACTTTTTACGAAAATTTTGTTAGTGGCCAATATCGGTTCATTTCTTTAAATTACACCAATATAAAAATGTATAAGAGCAAAAACGAATAAATCCTACTGAATTTTAATGGTGATATTCATGTTTGCATGCTAAACCGAATAAATTCATTTTTTGTTCAAAACCAAATAAATCCACAAATGCGCATTTCCTACTTTATCTTCTTATGCAAATGTTTCATTCGAACAATAGATGGTACTAGGGAGGTAGTAGAGATATTTTGTCGTTAACTGATTCGCCTCTGCATGTTTACAAATTGACTGGAGCGACCGCGTGTTTTTTGTTCAGTAAAAGGTTGTCAGTAGTCTGTGAACTGGGTGTGGGTAAGTGTATATTATTTCTGGTTTAAACTGTTTTTAGCGGATTTAATATACTTACATAGTTCGATATACATAAGTAGTCAATTTCTGTGTCCGCAATGCCTCCTAAGACTAGTGGTAAAACTACTAAAAAAGCAGGAAAAGCTCAGAAGAATATTTCCAAGGCCGATAAGAAAAAGAAGCGTAAGAGGAGAAAGTTATGCCATTTACATCTATAAAATATTGAAACAAGTGCATCCTGATACTGGTATTTCCAGTAAGGCTATGAGTATCATGAACAGTTTTGTAAATGATATTTTCGAAAGAATTGCTGCTGAAGCTTCCCGTTTAGCTCAATATAATAAACGGTCAACAATTACTAGCAGGGAAATTCAAACCGCCGTACGTTTATTACTTCCAGGAGAATTAGCTAAACACGCCGTCAGTGAAGGTACCAAAGCTGTTACTAAATATACAAGTTCTAAGTAATTATAATATTTCTTCTTATAAATATAAAAAACGGTTCTTTTCAGAGCCACATTTTTATGATTATGTGAGAAACATTCAAATAAACTAACAGCTGAAGAAACTAAGCGACTTCAAATTATTTTTCAACAAATAAATAAATGTAAGCTGGTCACTCGATTGACTGAATCAGGTCGATTTTTATACCAAGTAAAAATTATACCGGGTTAAAATTATTCTGATGCTTCTACAATAGTTCTTGAATAAAAATTTAAAAATACGGGACGCACCTTCGCCAAAATTTAGAATCTGTCACAACCAAAAATAATTTCTAACTTCACGACCTGATTTATCTCCAGGCTGGAACACTGAACTTTTTTGTTAAGCCAATAGTTTTTGACGCCTTCGCCAAAATTTAGACTGACTAAATCAAAAATAATTTTTTGCAACTTCACGACCTGATTTATCTCCAGGCTAGAAGACTGAAGTTTCTTGTAAACTCAAGGTTTTCGGAATATTGAATTTAATCCGTTGTAAATTAATCTGCCTTCGATATATTTGAAACCATCGTACGTTTATTACTTCCGGAAGAATTAGCTAAACAGCAAAACAATGAAGGTACCAAAGTTTTAAGTAATCTGAATACTTCATCTTCTAACTAGTAACAAACGGCTCCTTCACTTTTAACAATACTTATTGCTCAATACGAGGGTTTTTTAATTAAAGTATATCATCATTTGAAAATTTACAATATAGTTTCGTATGTTTTTGCGTTTCACAAAATATCTACTCTATTTTTATATTTAGATTTTTGCTTTAGAAGGATGAGAATTGACACTTAAAATGACTTTGTTGTGTTGCTATATTAGTGTAAAAACATTCAAGATGGGAGGGGTCTATTTGAAAAAGAAATGTGTTTTATCGAAGTAATATTGAATGATAAACAACAATAATTCAAATATAAACTGCATTAAATGTTATGGACGTAGTAGAAATTTCAAATTTGGGACTGAATATATTTAATTAAAAAGCAAAGGAGAACTGAATCATCCCATTAAAAGTAGGATTAAATATGGAATTTTAATTAAACTTATAGTTCATTAAACATAATTTGTTAAACTTATTGTATTATTGTGAATGCTTATTCCTTGTTATTTTACCCTAATGTAAGTATAGTAAACTCTTAGCCAAATAAAGTAGTGTATGAAATAAAAAATAGTGTTTGATATTGCATGATGATACAGGATTTTTTTTTATTTTGTACCCACTATAAAATTTAATTTAAACGCTACAAATTTGGAACTATCCTTAACATATGAAACATCATGACTGTCGATTATCAGCAACGAGGGTAGACATGCATAGTGAGATACGTATTTTACTCTGATACGGTTGATGTTTGCAATGTCTTGTGCGGTGATTGCAAAAGCAGATAGTTGAAAATTTGTAAAAATAGTCTATATGGTATATTTTCCTTATATATTGTTCAAATATTGAAAGGTAAAAGGCCAACAACTGGTCAGAAAGAACGAGCCTAGTTTTTTGAGCCTTTCTAACAAGCTTGGGTAACCAGTTTTTGTATTCTTTTCCAATTTTTTATATTATTTAAGGAACGTTTTAAAGATTTTTCACCCTTTCTTATTTATATCTCGTTTTAAAAATAAAAAAATACCGTAAAAATGAAGTTGAAACACACACACACACATCTGGAATATTTGACTTTCTCGATTTTTTACTTATCTACAGTTCAGTTTACCATCCGGTCCGGCATTCTTTAAAAAACATAGAACATTTTCCAAGCGTTTAGTTTTCGCTCTTCAGTCAGTGAATCGTTACATACCGCAAATTAACCTAAGATTTTTTATATCTACAACGAAATGGCAGATAGAGAAAACCAATCATCAGCCGCTTCGGCTACGTCGACATCTGGAACGCCACAAACATCTTCTCCGTCCAAAAAGAATAGGAAGGCAAAAAATCCACGGACAAAACCTTCTCATCCTCCAACGTCTGAAATGGTGAACAATGCTATCAAAGGGCTCAAGGAAAGAGGTGGTTCTTCTCTTCAAGCTATCAATAAGTATATTGCTGCAAATTACAAAGTAGATGCGGAAAAAGTGGCACCTTTCATCAAAAAATATTTAAAAGCTGCAGTTGCTACTGGCTCGTTGGTGCAAACAAAAGGAAAAGGCGCGTCAGGATCTTTCAAGTTAGCTTCTACCTCATAGTCGTCTTCTGAATCTGCAAAGCCTAGTTCCGCAGAAAAAAAGAAAGCTGGAGGAACAGCTAAACCGAAAAAAACTGCCGCCGCTGCCAAACGTTCTGCTGTAGGCGAAAAGACAAAATCTGTAAAGAAAATGACAAAGCCTAAAAAAGCCGCATCAAAGACACAGAAAAAGCCAGCAAAGGCGAAGAAAGTTGAAAAGAAGTCAGCACCTAAAACTGCGTCATCTTTATCCGCAGTTCCGACTTCCGCAGAGGCCAAAGTAAAAACACCAACGAAAGCTAAAAAATCCAATAAAGGAAGTCCTACGAAAAAACCCAAGGCACCTAAGCCAAAGAGCGCCAAGGCTGCTGCAATTTACCAAAAGCTAGAAAAGCTGCTGCTCCTAAGAAGAAGAAGTAATTGGACTAATTAATATCTTCGAATTGTTAAAAACAAATGGTCCTTTTCAGGGCCACAATTTATATCTACTTATGTAGCTGAGGAAGATGCCAATTAAGGAAGCAGAAAAGCTGGGAAAAAGGAAAAAAACTCCGAAAAAGCTAAGAGGAAAAGTTGAAAGGTAAAGTTATAAAGTACTTATAGATTAGTAGGTATAGCTCATTTTGGGATAGGGGCAGGTTTTTCAAAAGGTCATTTTATAAATCGTAGACTAGTAAATATTGTTTATCTCTTTCCAGTAAAGTTAATAGTTGTTAAGTAATTGGATTTTTTGGTTTTTTTAAGGGGGTAGGCGCAAAATCTTGATACAATGTTATTTAAATTTATTCTTTTTTTTTTCGAATTCTGAGAAAACTAATAAATATTTTTGAAAAATTTACACCCAGAATGAAAGTTTGCAGAATGTTTGTATTTGTATCAAAAAAGCATACGTTGCTTATTTTGCGTTATTTCTAATTCCTTTGAAAGTTTGTTAATCCTAAAAGTAACGGGTAAAATCATTTATTATTTATGTGTAATATCAAATCGGAACGAATCGAATATAATTAAATTTCTAAGAAATATTCACTTCTGTCGGCACTCCGCAAGTGCCACGCTATCTTTTTTAACCTTATGTAGGTATTTTATTTTAGGTACCAAGATCCAGATCCAGACTTAAAGAAATTTAAGCGTCCTTGCTTACATGACAATAAAACATACCAATGTTAAAATGTTAAAACATCAGATATTAAGAATATAAGAAGTCAGCTGTATAGTGTACCAGAAAAAAGCATTCAAGATGTGAAGCTTTGCCATATGATAAGCGTTTCCGGTACCGTAAGAAAGAGATATGTTAAAGGTAATCCCCGACAAAGAACAAGGGCAGCAAACTTCTTTTTAAAAATTAAGAAAACAAGATCAACAGGGGTAGTTAAAGTCTGCAGGTTTTTTTTCGTGGCAGCAACCGGTGTTAAAAACTACAGATTGTTTACATTATGTAAGATTGTTGACTCAGGAGACTGTCCCAAAGAGCGAAGAGGAGGGGACCATATTTCAACAAAAAGTTTGGACAAGAGGAAGAACGTACGCGAATTTGTTGGTAAATTGCGTGGCGTCAAAAGTCGTTATAATCCAAAAAAATCTCGAAGAATCTATTTACCGGCCCAACTTAATATTAGAAAGTTACAACGTATGTATAATAAACAGGCTGAAAGTCAGTACCAAGTTGGCTACCATATGTTTAGAAAGGTTTTTTTAAAAAAATTAAACATTGGATTTTTATCTCCAGCTTCTGATACCTGTTCCCAATGCACGCGTCTAAAGCATTTAATTAAATCGGATAAAGACGAAAAAGAGAAAACCAATTATATGACTGAATATCGAGTTCATAAAAAAAGACCAAAAGCATTTTACGAGCTTTCTAAACAAGAGCCAGAAAATTCCCTGACATTTTGCTTTGACCTGCAGCAGCTTCAACCCTTACCACCCACGCCAAATTCGGATGCAATTTATTTACATCACATAAGCCTCTATTCTTTTTGCTGTGTTGGTATAAACTCCAAAAATCCAACGTTTTATATTTGGACCGAAGATCAGACTGGGAGGGGCGCTACAGTGTCATCTGCTTTGTTCGATTATCTAAAATCTTTCGAACTGGATAATATAAACCAGATTAGATTGTTCTGCCATGGATGTGGGAGCCAGAACAAAAATTCTTATTTGATTCATATGTTAATGTTTTGGTTGTTAAAGTATTCTCCTGATAATATCAAAAAAGTTTGTATTACCTATCCAGTAAGAGGTCACAGTTTTATGCCAGCAGATAGAGTTTTTGGGCGACTTGAAAAAATATTTAGAAAGAATCCAACTATTATATCTAAACAAGAATATATCTGTCATTATGCACAAGTCGGAAGTGCAAATGTCTTAGGATAAGACTGGAAAATTTTTGATATCAAGAAATTACAAAATTACCTTAACAAGATTGTTGGAATATCAGACTTAAAAAGAATCTGTCTGGAAAAGACACAGATTCAAAAAACTAAAGAAATTAAAATTTTAATATCATGCTTTCAGCATTATCGATTTGAAGCCCAATCCGAACTTAGGCGCTCAATTTACAAAAAGGGAAGGTCTTTAAAAAATTTTTTGCTATCCAAAGTCAACCTGCGAAGTGCCATTCCACCAAAGAAGATAAAAAGTGTTTAACAACTTATGGAAAAACAATTTGGAAAGGAGTGGAAAATTGACGAAAGTTTTTTGTGGTACACGAATCTTTTATGTGAAAATAATTAAGTGGTTGAACATACTGAGGAAGAAGAAGAGCTAAGAAATGAGTGTGACTGTCTAGAAGAAGAGTTTGCAGTTCATATTTAAATGC